GGCATCATTGGCATGGAAATGCAGGAGGAACAGGTAACTGTCAGTCTTAATTCTGAGACCAGGCAGGTAGTTTCTGATTGGTCAGTGTGTTGTATGGAGTTGCAGCAGGAATATTGACAGTGTCCAGGTCCCCTTTTAATGTAAAAGGTGCAACATATGCACAAATTCCTTTTTCTTCAAAAAGCTAGGTCGTGTATCTTTCTATTTCTGGCACACAAAAGTACTCAGTTAGCAGAAGCTCATCAGAGTGCTTAATCTGGAACCACAGTCTGCTCTATGGGCATCTCTACCAGAAAAACGTTGAGCTTTTGATCATGCTCTAAAATGCTCACAACAGCAGTGGATATACTGTGTAGTAATTTGAAATAATCCTGTTCGCAGAAGATAACCCTGAATTAGCATCTACCTTCAGGAGAAATGAAGTGTTGAAACATGTTAAAAAGGTATCGTGGTTTTGTGGAAGCATTCAGGAATGCTGGAAAAGTGTTCAGACGCGATCATGAGTGATCACCAGCACTGAAGGAGCAACACAGCCAGCTGGGCGAGATGGATCTCTGTCATTATAATTGACTGATGAAACACATGTACATTTCACACCTGCAGGTTTCCAACTGCACGCAAGCGTCTAGAAGAGTTGTGGGAGACAATAAAAATGTCGTCAACTCTGCTTATCAACTGGGAATCAATCGTTGCAATGTGTTTTGGTCCCCAATTCAGAACCCTGCAGTCAACTAAGAGACCTTTGTATATTCTCCTGACATAGTTTCTGGGCAGACAGAATACATTCGAAAAACAGCTGGGGAATAGTTTTCCACAAGTGCTCATTAACTCATTCAGTATCACCACAAAATAAAGACTTAACAACAATTTATTTTAAAAAATTTTCCCAAGAGTTTCACTCATCCCCATCCATATTTCTGGCAGGCTACCCATTTTTCTGATCATTGTGCAGCATCTCCAAACACACTGTCCAACCCTGTGCACTAACCTCTGTGTGACCAACTCTGTGTTTTAAAAAAAAGACACTGTGCCAAAGAAGTGCAGATAGGAAAGGTGATAAACAAATTGTCAACGTCATAACAATGTAAATAGGGCAATGTTGGGCGAGTGAAATGAAAACTGGCAACTCACCAACTTGCCAGGTACCTTTGATAGCACCTTCTAAACCCATGACCACTACCACCTAGAAGGACAGGATCAACAGATATATAGGGTCACTATCATCTGCTAGTTCCCTTTCCAACCCACACACCACTCTGACTTGGAACTCTGTCGCCATTCCTTCACTTTTTGCTGGGTTAACAACCTGAAAGTCCTTTCCTAATGTCCCCCATTTACATGGACACTGTTCTCGAGTGCCTGACGCCTTGGAGCTGGCCACAAAATGTGATCCAGGATAGCAACGAAGACACACACTGCTCCTGCCACTCACCCCTCAGAGCAACGATGAACTCGACAGGCTGCTAGCAGAAGTGAAGGATGTGGTCCTGCCAACCATCCAGGATGTGCTACTGCTGAAGAAAGCTAGACATCTAGCAAGGTTTACACCTAAAGGAGCAAGATGAGAAAAGCTCAAAAAAAATCTTGTAAATTAATTTTTTTTAAGTAAACCACTACCACCTAAAGTGCATCTCAGAACCACACTTTTGCAGTTCACCCCATCAATCCCATTTGCCACCAAACCCTCTTTCCCTGTCAAAAGTTCAGACCGTCTAACTTTCTTTGGGCCTACCAGAAAACATGGCTGCACAGACCTGTGTGCCTGACCCACCACTCCCCACAACCCTGAGTCTGAGTTCAACATTACTCCTGCAATCGCAGGACCATACCCACTCTCCTGTCTTGGCACTGCAATCACCCTTTCCCTCTCCTGTCTTGAGACTAAACCTGCAATCGCCCCCCACCTGCCCCCATCTTGGGTCTCTCCCATAGCTCTCCCTTCCTCCCCCCTCCCAATTCACCACTCAGACTCCACCTCAGCATCCTCCCTCCACCCCCACCACACCATTTTGGGAAACCCCCTTGGCAACTCCCCGTTGCCTCACCCATGTCAGAGCACTGCTTTTCTCCTTTCCCACTCCCCTAGCCTTAGGTCTGCTGTACCTTCTCTGCGAACTCCCAACCTTCACCTCCCAGCCCATGGACCTCCCAAAAGCCACTTTCCTTGCTTTCTCCTTTTCACACTATCAACCATCATGGGTCCCTTGCCTGTCGTAACTGGAACAACATCCAGTTTTGATCAGCATTTCTCCAAGGATATATGAGCAATAAAAAATACTCTATTTTGTTATAAGAACGAATTATAGTCATTATAATAGAGTCATGCAGCATGGAAACAGACTCTTTGGTCCAATTAGTCCATGCCGAACATGTTCCCAAACTAAGCTAGTCACAGCTGCCCACATTTGGCCCATATCCCTCCAAAACTTTCCTATTCATGTACTTGTCCAAATGTCTTTCAAACATTGTAACTGTACCTGCATCCACCACTTTTTTCTGGCAGTCCATTCCATACATGAACCACTTTCTGTAAAAAAAAAGATGCCCCTCATGTCCTTTTTAATTCTTTCTCCTCCCACCTTAAAAATAAGCCCCCTAGTTTTGAACACTTCCACCCTAGGGAAAAGACCTTTGCTATTCACCTTATCTATGCCCCTCATGATTTTATAAAACTCTATAAGGTCACCCCTCAAACTCCTACACTCCAGTGAAAAAAGTCACAGCATATCTTTATAATTCAAAATTCCATTCGTAGCAACATCTTGGTAAATTTTTTCTGAACCCTCTCCAATTTACTAATATCCTTCCTTTGGCAGGGCGTAGCTAATAGTAATGATGCTATAATAAACACTACAGTGATTTGTCGATGTTAAACAATCCCACTCCTACACCTGGGACTCAGAATAGTTTTAATCCTTGAGCTTTTCATTCTCTTGATCACTTCTGGTTGAGAAAGCTTTTGCTTCAACTTAATCCCTTGTGTGTTGATTTCCACTGATTTCACTTGCATGTGCATTGTGTGATTTCATTTCACTGCCATTGATTTCTGTAGATCATTACTAGATGTCAAGTGTAAATTGAATACTTTGAAACTCACATTGAACGCTTTGGAACACAGATCATGGCAAATAAATGCAATCAAATGCTGTTGAGTATAGAATGATGTTAAATTTTTTTGGTAGCAGTCCTGTCTTCCAACATGATCTTTTGCATTGTTTTGGCCTATTTTGAAATCATGTCGCAACCTAGCAGAAACTCTACCATGTTATTTTGATTTTGTTTGGAAACAAACTGATCAAGGCAAGATTATCTTTTTCAAATGTAGGAGGACATAGATATATGCTCTTTGATGCCAATGCTGTTGTTTCTATTTGTCGTCAACTTTTAATTTTGTGGTTCGATTAGATTTGATCGATTAAATTTCCTTATTCCTCCAAAGGAAATGAAACATTTGAAGTTTATGTTTCCTTGTTTCGTCTGGGTGGAATGAAACATTTGCAAATTCTGTCATGAATCTTGAGCAAGAAAGTGCAAGTGTTTCCTGTTCAGTCAGAAGCAGAGCTGGAAATAAAAGGCAACTTTAGTTCAAACATATCGTCATGTTTTTATTTCTATATGCACAAAAAAAAGAAAGAGTGGATAGAAAATCCCACATTGGAATAGTTCATTCCATTCCTGTGAGTTCTTACCTTATCTAAATTGGAAAAAGAACAAGTGGAGACATTTAGAGTCAGGCTCATATGGATCTACTTTAGCAGTCATTTGTTATTACTGAATGGTATTATAAATACCACAGTTCTTCAATCTATTCAGCTAGGAACATTACTGACCTGGTTCACTATCATTTAATTGGTCAGAGATAGTTTAAACTTTTTCTGGGTCATTTTCTTTCAGTTATGCAATCTTCAAATTATTCAAAGGGGGAAACTTAACCTTGAAACACATATGGTTTTATTTTTATCAATTAAGTTTGCATCTAAGCATTGAAAATCTAAGTAACCAAACAAAATTTATCAGAATCCACAATCAAAATATTACACACAGATGGAAGAAGTAATGTGGTGAATTGATGGAGTTGTGAGGTTAATATTCAGCATTGAGTGGGCTCATTTATATGTAAATATATCCAGGCACGATGATAACATCCAATCCCACTTAGGTTCCTTGTGTGGAGGGGTGGAGCAGCAGAAGTCCTCCGTGATACATGAGCTAATTCTGAACCTCTCCACCCTGGGCCCTCCTCTTCTGTAATCACAAATGCATCTGGACCTTCCCCTCCCCCAGACACCATCCCTGGGCCCTGGTCCTGAGAATGTTCCTGGCAGCAACCTCCTGTCACCAGAATCCCAAAACTGCCCTCCAAGCACATAATGATTCCAGTCAGGCTTAGGGTGCAAGTCAGTGTTGGATCAGTTCATTGAGATCCCACTGATAAAATCTCCTTGGCTTTATACTGTGGTAGGGGCAGGGGAGTGGGATGACGTGATTGAATCAATTTGTTTCCAGCCTCAGCTACCCCATCCCGCAGTGAAGACTGAGCTTTACATTTCTTGAAAGTTTCCTACTGTACCTCTCAGAAGTTTAATTTTCACTGGTTATAACATACAGTATGAGAGCTAACTTAAACTTTATAAACCTTTGAACTTAGACTCTCGCAGGTCACTATTTAGGCCTCCAATCCATATTCCACTTGTATCTTCTGAATTCCAACTGCAGCAATATGGCAGGACTAATGCACACAATCAGTACTACACAAAATTAAGTATTTTTATATTCCAACCGACATTTTTGCAGACGTCTTAATCTGTATTTGTTGCAATTCCTTTAACCATGTTAAATTTTATTTTTCATGCATCATGCATTTAATTCTGCAGATGCCTAACTATTAAAGTTTATTCTGTCATCTCACACCTGCTTTACTTGAGTTTGTGCCACAAAATCAAAATGCATTTGTTCTGCTTGTCATTTAATGTTTCACTTGTCTTTTCTTTTTCCTGTAGTAATAACAAGTAGTGGCTACAGTCCAAGAGGAATACACCAATACTCACCACAGCTCTATCCTTCCAAGTAAGTACAAAAAAAGTTTGTCGTTCAAATGGAATATTTTCCTAGTCTTTATTCATACATGGATTTACATGGAAACCAAATTGTGTATATGCCTGGATTCTATTATCGTATTTTCTCAAGGAAACCACATCTTCTTTGTTATTTCTGGTAATGTCGTCACACAAGACAATGCCGTATTTTGAGAACATAGAACAGTAGAGCACAGAACAGACCTTTCAGCCCACCATGTCTGCGCCAACCATGATGCCATTCTAAACTAATCCCATCTGCCTGCGCGTGGTCTGTCCTTCTATTCCTTGCCTGTTCCTGTGTCAGGTTAAGTACCTCTTAAACATTGCTAACATATCTGCTTCTACTATCTCCTCTGGCAGCACATTCCAGACACCTATCTGTCTCTGTGTAAACAAAAAATGCCTCACACATCCCCCTTAAACTTTCCCCCTCTCACCTTAAATCCATGCCCCCTTGTATTTTATGTTTCCACTCTGGAGAAAAGTCTTCAACTTTCCACCCTATTCATGCTTCTCATGTTTTTATATATTTCTATCAAATCATTCCTAAGCCTCCAAAGCTCCAGTGAAAATAATACAAGTTTATTCAACCTCTCCTTATAGCTAATACACTCTAAACAAGGCATTTTTTTTTTGCACTCTGTCCAAAGCCTCCACATCCTTTCTTTAGTGTGGTGATCAGAACTACACATGATACTCCGAATGTGGTCTAACTAAAGTATTACACAGCTGCAGCATGACTTGCCAACCTTTATACTCAATACCCCAATTGATGAAGGCAAGCACACCGTATGCCTTCTTTACCACCTTATCCATTTGCATTTACAGTTGCAGGGAGCTATGGACTTGCACCCCACGATCCCTCTGTATGTCAGTGCTCCTAAGGGTCCTGCCAGCTATTGTTTACTTTCTTCTTGCATTTGACCTCCCAAAATACATCACCTCACACTTGTCTGGATTCATCTCTATCTGCTATTTCTCCATGTAACATTCTAACTGATCTATATCCTGCTGTATCCTTTGGCAACCTTCCTCACTATTCACAACTGCACCAATTTTCATGTCATCTGCAAACTTACTAATCAAGCCATCTACATTTTCATCCAAATCATTATATATATATTACAAACAACAGAGGTCCCAGCACAGATGCTTGCAGAACACCACTTGTCACAGACCTCCAGTCAGAAAAATACCCCTCCACAACTTCCCTGTGTCTTCTATGACCAAACCAATTTTGTATCCGACTCACTAATTCACCATGGATCCCATTTAATCTTCTGGACCAGCCTTCCATGAGGGACCTTGTCAAAACCTTCAGTAAAGTCATTATAGATGGCCTTACCCTCATCAATTATTTTGTCACTTCCTCAGAAAACTTGATTAAATTTGTCAAATAAGACCTCCCCCAAACAATGCGTGCTGGCTATCCCTGATAAGTCTATTTTTTCCCAAAAGCAAGTAAATCTTGTCTCTAAGATTCTTCTCCAATAATTTCCCCACCATAGGGCTCATTGACCTATAATTTCCTGGAATATCCCTGTTTTCTCTTAAATAAACGTTCAGCATGGGCTATTGTTCACTCTTCCGGAACCTCACCTGTGGCTAGAAGGGATACAAAGATCTCTGACAAGGCCGTCCTGCACCCCGCTTAATATCCTGGGATAGATCCCATCAGGTCTTGGGGACTTATCTACCTTAATGTTTTTCCAGACACCCAAAACTTTTTCCTTACTATTGACATGCCCCAGAATATCAACATACCCCTCCCTAATCTTACCATCATCCATGTTTTTCTCCTCGGTGAATACCGATGTGAAGTACTCATTAAGGATCCACTAACTGCATGCATAAATTCCCTCCTTTGTTCTTGAGTGGACCTACGTTTTCCCTAGCCACTGTCATCCTATAATATATATATAAAATTCCTTGGGATTCTCCCTAATCTTATTCCCCAGAGAACATTTCATGGTCACTTTTATCCCTCTTAATTCCTTGTTTAAGTTCTTTCCTGCTTCCTTTATATTCCCCAAGGGCCTTGTTTTATTTCCGTTTCCTAAATCTTACATACTTTTCCTTTTTCTTGTCAACTAAACTTCCAATATCTTTTGTTATCCAGGGTTCCCGAATCTTGCCATTCTTATCTTTCATTCTCTCAGGAACGTGCTGGTCCTGAACGCTGATCACACTCGGCCTTTAGAAGACTCCCACATGTCAGATATGAATTTCCCCGAAACAGCCGCCCCAATCTAATTTCTCCAGTTCCTACCAAACACTGTTATAATTAGCCTTCACCCAATTTAGTGCTTTCACCCAAGGATCAGCCTTACCCTTATCCATAGCTATCTTAAAACTTATGGAATTATGATCACTGTTCCCAAAATGCACCCGCACTGAAACTGCAATAACCTGGCCGGGCTCATTCCCCAGTAACAAGGTCCAGTGTGGCCCCTTTCCCAGTTGGGCAATCTCCATGTTGTTTCAAGAAACCCACCTGGATACACCTAACAAATTCACTCCCATTTAAGCCCCTGACATGATAATGTTCCCAATCTATATTGGGCAACTTAAAATCATCCACTACAATAACCCTCTTTCTATAGTCTGCTGACATATCTGTTGCTCTATCTCCCACAGGATATCATGGTACCACTGATCTGTCTGTTGCTGATACTTTCCCCAAGTGGCAACCCCCCTGCCACAACAATATCCAACATGGTGTACCTATGTGAGAGGGAAATAGCCATAGGGGACTCCCATTCTGCCTGCCAGCCCCTCTTGGCAGTCACCTATCTACCGGCTGAACCTTTGTTGTGACCACATCCCTGAAACTCTTACCTATAAAACTTCCAGCCTCCTGCAAGCTCCTTACTGAGTCCAGCTGATCCATGTGACATTGTTGCCAGGGACATTTCATTTCCACCTGATGTCGCAAGTCTCACAGGAGGAGTAGACCACTACACTAACTGCTACTTCTACCCACCTAGTAACAATTAGATTAAAAGAAAAGGAAAGACCTTACCTTGCATTACTTTTATGCTGCTCACACTTCTCAGCAAAACCCAACACTCACCAAAGCCTGCACTTTGATCTCACCAGCGCCACTTTGACCTCACAGACCCTCTCCCGCTAAAGCTTGCATCCCCTTTATATGCTGGAATTATAAGATTGGCAATGATGCTTTTCCCAAATAACTGACATCACCCATAATACCGTAGAAATTTTCCAGAGGGGAAAAAAAGACTCAATGTCACTGTTTGGCTCTGTAATGTGGGTATAAGCTTGTCTTTTCTCTCTTTGTAATGCGCAGCTTGACTTAGCTTTCTCTTCTCCATAGGCCATACCCACACATTCTTTCCACACCAGCAGTACAGTCAATGACAGCTTATGCTGGACAAACCCAGTATTCAGGAATGCAGCAGCCAGCAGTCTATGCTGCGTATTCTCAAACAGGCCAGCACTATGGATTGCCCGCTTATGGTAAGGCACTTCTATGAGACTATATCAGATTAATTATTAGTACAGCGGTTATTTTGTTTAGTCAGTTGTCTAAATGCAAACCAAAGAGATTTAAGCTTCAATTCAGAAGCAATGTTGGAAAATGTCAAATTTAAACCAGTTTGTGTGAACTCTTATCAGGAATTAAGACAGAAGGAGGACTTCCGCAAGCACAGTCTGCATTGCAAACAGGATGCCTTAGCTACAGTCCAGGATTTGCTGCACCCCAACCAGGCCAGACAGCATATTCCTATCAGATGCAAGGTTAGTGCGGTATCGTTCTCTCCCCTCTGTCTGCCTACCAACCAGTTCAGTTTTGATTTTTGTGATCCTATTCTTATTCTGGATGGCGAAATGTTAATTCTTAACGAGTATTTCAAGCTTTCAAAACAATTATGCAAAGACTTGAAATAATCTTACATTTACAAAGCTGCTGCACAAGTCTGATAACTTTGAAATACTTCAATCTAAATATTACAATCAGAAAACATTTAAAACTCTGTGGATATTTCTTCAAACTACAGTGAAGCTGATGTACCTGACCATTGGCCCGGAAAATCCTTGACTGCAGAGGTCAAGAAAATAACAGGTTTCCTGGACCTTTGCTCCCTTTATTGTTCTGCCAGGAGGCATTGTGCTAGGTTCCAGAGAACTGAGCAAATTTAAAAAGTATGTGACAGACATTTTATTCCTTCACCCAGCAGAGCTTGTGTCTCTCAGCTACAGATCCCCAGGAGGTTAAGGCTGTGACTCAGTCATGTTGAAACTCAGTCAGTTTATTATGATTTGGGCACACTCCTTCTTTACAGTTCCCAGGATAAAGAGAGAGCCAACAAAATCAATTCTTTGAGTTTTGCTAAAAAAAAGACTGGATTGAAATTTTTATCTTGCACACATCGGGACATTTGAGGAGAAACCAATATTTGTACTGCAGAAGAGTAGAGTGTTGATTGGTTGGCAAATGGACAAGCATTTCTGTGGAGAATACACCAGCTAAGTGATGATTGACAGTTAACTGCCAAGCTTTGTTTAACTTTTAAACTCTGTTAGGTAGACTCTGTTTGGTCAGGGCATTTCTGTTTGACAAATTGGCCAGCAGTGGCTGTCACCTATTCTGTTGAGTTAAAACAGGCATACTGCATGTACAAAATAAAAACCGAAAGAACTGCGGATGCTGTAAATCAGGAACAAAACAAAGTTGCTGGAAAAGCTCAGCAGGTCTGACAGCATCTGTGAAGGAGAAAACTGAGTTAACATTTTGGGTCTAGTGACCCTTCCTCAGATTTTGTTTTTGTTGATACTGCATGTACAATTTATTTTTGTCTGCGACAAACAGGGCTCTGTGCATGAACATATGTAGCTTCTTATACATGCAAGTGCACCACACTGCGAGACTGATTGACAATTTTAAACTTGCTGTCAGCGTAATTCCTCACACGTTCAACTATATTATTCAACTAATATTGTCCAATTGCAGAATGACATCGAATGTTATATACGGTGTTACAAGTTTCGCAGCATATGCTAGTTGGGAATGGGCAATACCTTGCCTATTGCAAGCAGCCAAAGGGACATGCTGTTTGACACAATCCGCAAGTCTTTAGGATGCATGGCCTTGTTGCTAGCATCACACCAGCAGTGAAATTCATATCGCACATTACTAATTTGTCTCATAAAATATTTTTTGGCTTGAAGGCAGCATTTTGGTAATGGAAAACACCACTTGTGTTGCTACTGTATAGTAGCAGTTTGAAACAGCAAGTTTCATCAGCATTCGGCATTAATTGTTGCGTTTGCAATGGCAAAACCTCTCCCAATCAGAGTTCCTGTTGCCAATCCATCAGCACTCCCCTTACATCAGTCTAAATGTTGTTTTCCCTTGAATTTGTATTCTTGCAAAATGTCCTGCTGAGTACAAAACAAAAAGCGATGGTAAAATATCTTTTTTTAGCAATGCTGCACTTCTGTTCTTCAAACTATTTTAAATCATTCTTTTGTCTTTACATTAACAAATTTAAAAATGGATATCATTAATGTTTGCTCAGTAACATATAGTTTTGTGCTACATCCAAAGCCTTAACATTTATACGTGCTCTAAAATCTCAGGAGCATAACAAAGCTAATTATAGATTGAACGCAAGCCTCATATAGGCAATGGCAAGGTTTGGGTCCATTGCCCAATTTTATGCCCAATTGATTTTGATGGAGTTTAAGACCAGGCAGGATGTAAACCGAGCATCCAACCTGAACTCATCCATCTTTCAGTGTTAAGAATGGGGGTGGCCAAGCTCGATGTAGATTAGAGTCCATCAAAGTTATGACTGTCCTGATCAGATCATTGTTCAGTGCATGTTGCGCAAACTCACAAATAGACTAAGGACCACCATTTTTGGACATGAGAAGTTCTGGTCTACCTCAAATTAAATGAAAAAGGCATTTGAAAAATGTGAAGAATAGATTAAGTGTGCCATGTTGCTACTGTTCAATGGCAATGCAAGTGACATTATCTACTAAGACGTTATTGCCGCCAGTCCAATAGGATGTTCTACCTACCACACAAGTGAGCAATGACATGTATGAATTTCAGTGCTATTGTAATGCTAGCTATAGAGGCTGTACGTCCCAATGATTGCCTGATTGAATCAGACATCATCTTCCTCAAGCTGTTTTTAATATTTAGAATACAGGCTATGCCCAGACAATATATGGGGGAGGTGACAGCCTAATAGTATTGAAGTGTTACTCCAGAGACCCAAGTAATGTTCTGGGTGACTAGGTTCGAATCCTGCCACAGCAGATGGTGGACAAAAACAAAGTTGCTGGAAAAGCTCAGCAGGTCTGGTAGCATCTGTGAAGGAAAAAACAGCGTTACCGTTTCGGGTCTGGTGATCCTTCCTCAGAACTGAACAGCAGATGGTGGAATTTGAATTCAATGGGAAAAAGAAATCTGGAACTAAGAGTCAAATGATGACCATGAACCCATCATTGATTGTTTGGAAAAACATATCTGGTTCACTAGAGTCCTTTAGGGAAGGAAAATGCCATACTTACCTGGTCTGGCCTACATGCAACCCAGACCCACAGCAATGTAGTTAACTCTGGGCAATAAATGCTGGCCTAGCCAGCAAAGCCCTCTTTCTGTGAATGAATAAACAAAAACCCAAATCAAAAGGTCTATTTTTAAATCTGATTCAGCAATTAAGCAGCACTTAGTGAATCATCCTGAATCAGCTAAAATTCCCAACATTCCCTCGAAGACATGTGGTGCCTCCAACAGTGATGCCATTTCCAGTATTGACTTCAGGTCAATTTTCCAACTAATCAGCACTCATTTTCTTCTGTCATATAAATTGTTGTGATTGTTTGAAATTTGGCATTCTTGCATTAGTCCTGATGAGTGCAAAATGAAGATCTTCGACAACATTATCTCTTCCCTTCAAAATTTCTAAACTAAGTACTTTCAGATGCATTACTGTGTTCAATTCCAATTATCAGTAGAATATCTAGCTAAAAGCATATTTCGCTGTCTGTGTGAACTTTCAACATGGTCAAATTTGAGCTGGAACTTCCTTGGAGTTGCTTCAGGTTCCTGCTGTAAATTCACTGGAAATTTCATTTACATAACAATGTAAAGTTGCCATAGTCCTACCAGACTATAGGGTTGTTCTCTCATTAGAGAGAGATGACTGGTCTAACTTGAAGATCACTAGACCTCAGGCAAGGAGAGAAGTTCAGAAGGAGAATCTTGCATGACAACCTCAGACAGTGCTGGAATTGATCCAACGATGTTGGCATCCATCTTCATTGCACACCAACTTTCCAGCCAACTGAGCTAACTGACCCCCAAAATATAGGAGCAGCAACAATGCAAGAGCTACTGCAAGGACATTCTGAAGAATGTTTTATGTGATCAATTTGTCAAGTTTCTCAATTACAAACCTATTTTCCACAAAATCGTATTTTACTCAAGTTTAAAATGGTGTAAATGCAGAGATAAACATAAGGTTTAGTTGTAAACGTGTTAATAGAAGAAAAAAAAAGTATTCCTTTTTAAAAACATTGTCAGTATCTTCAGAAGCGCAATGGAAACCCCCCAAAGCAGAAATCCCAAGATTTCCAACTGTTCATCTTAAAAACTTTGGATTTCCGTCTAATGCAATCTGATGGGACTTTTTCCGCAATGTTTATTCTCTGGCACACCTAAACTGTTCAACAGTTGTATGACAAAAAGAGCAGCTATTGTAGTTCCACATCTCAAATGTAGATCAACAAGGTTTTAATTGCAAACTGAAAAATTTAAAACAGTAGTTAAATCTCTTGACTATAGAAAAATCAAAAATAAGTAAATGTAATGAGCTTCCACATTATTAAAAGTTAATTTTCTGTGCCAGTGAGGCACTTTATCACAAATATTTCAGCTAAGCACAGCAGCCCTAAAGGTTGTTCTCAACTAAGTACCATGTGGCCAGAGCCATTTAAAATTTTTAAAAGTAATACGCATTGAAAAAGCTGGCTTTCCCCACAATGTAATTTTACAGGGATCATTGCTTGTCACTTGAATGGATGAGCCATAACATTTTCTAGCATGTGTTGTGGGTATCTGTTGGGTTAACTAGAGCAATATCACAATGTTGCACATGTTTGAATACAGAATTTTCCAGCAAATTACCACTGTAGTGAAGGAACTGGGAAACTAAGCGAACAGCTTCTTGACTTGTAGTCTTCTACATATGTGCAGATACTGGAAGTTGCTGTCTAATTTATCCTTTATTCCCCACACCATTGTTCTGATTAAACCAGACCATCATCTTATCATCTTCTGAGGAAGGGTCACCGGACCCGAAACGTTAACTGTTTTTTCCTTCACAGATGCTGCCAGACTTGCTGAGCTTTTCCAACAACTTTGTTTTTGTTCCTGATTTACAACATCCACAGTTCTTCCGGTCTTGTCATCTTTGTCATGTATCAATTTGACTGCATCTTACGTTCCTTTTGTAATCTGTTTACTTATCACAGCAATGGCTTAATGACAAATGTTAGTTTATTGCTGTCATTGGAAATAGTGAATACCTTACTGCAGTCAAGGATTGCATCTAGCACCAGTTATAATACATGTGCTTTATTTTTGTCATCTGCATCTGCAATTTTTACTGTGATGCTTATTTTGAGACATATGAAATTTCTAAATGTACTGTTTCTTTTGACTTCAGGATCTAGTTTCACGCCATCTCCTGGTATTTATGCAAGCAGCAACTCTGTTTCCAATTCAACAAGCTTCAACAGTTCCCATCAGGTATAAATCCCAATTCTATTCTCTTTCCCTGGTGACAGAAAATGCACTTGTTCCTGAACCATGGGTGTTGTACGGCTTCCATGACTACACATTTATGTCAGTTGTGAACTTGCTAGCCTTAGATAACATAGTTCAGCCTGCTCGCAACCTCCTCAGCACCATATACATATGTTTGTACAAATGCAGTCCCAAAAGGGAGCAGTGGGTAACAATCAGAAAAAGGATTGCCATCAAATTTATTTCCTCAAATCTGGAGATGATTGATGAATAATAACAGTGTGGAGCAGGAAAGTTGATGTTTTGGGACCAAAGTATCAACTTTCCTGCTCCTCTGATGCTGCCTGGCCTGCTGTGTCCCTTCAGCACCAACCTCTGACTCCAGCATCTGCCGTTCTTGCTATCTCTGATGAATTATAACATTCCCATTGCTACCATTGTCTGAGAGTCGCTAACGCAAATCTCTTTCCAGGATTTACAAATTATGCTTCAGTTTCTCAAAGTAAATAGCTCAAAAGAAATGTTGCAACTTTAAAAGAAGGTGTTTTCAAATCTTATTTAACTAGATTTGAAAGTGAATTTTGAATTTATTTAAATTGCATAATTCTTTGATTGAATTTTAATTGATCTTTACTCCCACCCATTTCTTTGACTCCATTGTGACCACAACCTGTTTTCCAAAGCTGAATTCATTACTTATGCCGAGGCTCCCAATTTGCTCCTAACTTGCTTTCCCATCTGCCTTTGTATTGTCAGTGAACTTGGCTACAATGCACTGTCTCTTTTTCCAAGTCATTAATATTGACTGGATCATGAATTTTTGAGACGCAAGCATTGATCTCCATGGCACACCATTATTTAAAATTTGCTAACTTATACCAATTCTCCACCTGGAATTTTACACTGCATGCACACATCCCACGCTCACCCCTCTCCGAGAGAGCAGACTGGCAGGGGTAACATAAAGTTTGGTGAAATGGCAGGCTCACATTTCCATCGCCTACCCACTTCTGCACATATTTCACCAGCAACAGAGTAATGTCAAACCCATCCACCAACCTTTGGGCCAGTTGTGGTCTTTATGTGGCCAATTATTGGTTCCCATTGTGCCTTAAATTTTACCAGCAGTGGAATTGGCTACTTTATGAATGTCGATTTTCCACTTGAACTGGTATTCCTTCAAATTGGCATTATGAGTGCAAGTTGAAAAGATTTGATAAAATGTGTTATTTTTCAGCAATACTCAAGTTCCTTACTAAAAACAACTATTTATAATAAATTTATCTAACATGCTTTCCCTTTCAAAATGCTAACTGTACTTGATTGTATTAAAAACTTCTAAATATCCTGCTTCTGCTTCCTTAACAATAGATTTCAGCAGTTTACCAATGATAACTACTTGATTGACTGATTACAGTTTCCCTACTTTCTTGAATAGCCCATGAGTAGACTTGCCACCATCCAATGTTTTCCATAGTAGATTTATTATCACTGCCTTAATATCTGCTACCAAACAATCCCTGGCAGTCTCTGGGGTCCAGGGCAACTGATGCAGAATGGAGGTAGTTTACCTCTGCTCAAGGGGAAACAGGTCTTCCCTTTCCACTCTATCCAAACCCTTTATTATTTGGTGCACCTTGAATAAGCCACCTCTCAGCCTCTCCTGTTCTAAGGAAAACAGTCCGAGCCCATCCAATCTTTTCTCATGCTTGCAATTTTTAAGCGATGGAGACACTCTTGTAAATCTCCCCTGTCCTTCCTGTGACCGTAAGACCTTAACATATTGGAGCAGCATTAGGTCATTTGGCCCATTGAGTCTGCACTGCTGTTCGATTATGGCTGATATGTAACTCAAACCCTGATCCCGTTACCAATCAAGAACCTATCCATCTCCGTTTTAAATACACTCAATGACTTGTCCTCCAAAGTCCTCTGCCACAACAAGTTCCACAGATTAACCACCCTCTGGCTGAAGAAATTCCTCCTCACCTCAGCTCTAAAGCATCATCCCTTCACTCTGAAGCTGTGCCTGTGGGTCCTAGTTTTTCCTACCAATGGAATCATCTTCTCCACATCCACTCTATCCAGGCCTCTCAGTATTCTGCAAGTTTAAATCAGATCCCTCCTCACCCTTCTAATCTACATAGAGTACAGACCTCAACCGTTCCCCGTATGACAAGCCCTTCATCCCTAGAATCATTCTTGTAAACCTCAACTGGACCCCCTCCAAGGCTAGCACATCCTTCATTTGATACAAGGCCCAAAACTACTCACAATATTCCTAAGCCTGCATGTTAATCCAAAGAAAATCCTGAACTAGGACTCCAAAGTACTTTTGTGGTTTAGATTTCTGAAGTCCTTTCCCCCCTTAGAAAATAGACCATGTCTCTAATCTTCCTACCAAAGTGCATGGCCTCACATTTTTCCTACATTGTATTCCAACTGCCACTTCTTTGCCCACTCTCCTTACCTATCCAAGTTCTTCTGCAGCCTCCCTGCCTTTTCAACACAAGCTGGCCCTCCACCTATCTTTGTGTCATCTGCCAAGTTAGCAACAATGCCCTCAGTTCCTTTGTCTAGATTGTTAATGTATAATGTGAATAGTTGTGGTCCCAATGCAGACCCTGCAGAACTCCACTAGTCACAGGTTGCCATCCTGAAAAAGATCCCTTTATCCTTACTCTTTGCCTTCTGCCAGTCAACCAATCCTCTATCGATGCCAGTATCTTGCCCCTAACACCATTTGCTCTTACCTTATTTAGCAGCTTTCTGTGTCAAAGGCCTTCTGGAAATCCAGATACTTTACATCCACTGGCTTTCTTTTGTCTGACTTGCCTCATTATCTCTTCAAAGAATTCTAATAGATTTGTCAGGCTTGACCTCCCCTTGACAAAGCCGTGTGAACTTTGCCATATTTTACCATGTACTTCCAAATACTTCTCAATCTCATCCTTAATAATGGATTCTAAAATCTAACCAATAACTGAGGTCAGGCTAAATGGCCAATAGCTTCCAATGTTCTGCCTACCTCCCTTCTTAAACAGCGGTCTTACATTAGTAACTAACCAGCGTCTTATATAGTTCCAGCATTACATCCCTGCTCTTGTATCACCCAATGAAGAAAAGTATCCAATCTATCTTCTTTATCTACCTGTCCTGACATCATCAGGGTCCAGTGGACATGCACTCCATGTGCTCCAAGTTCTTCTTCCCCTACCTCTCTCAATACTCTCCTGTTCATTGTGTATTCTGTTGCTTTTGTTTTGTCTTTCTGAAATGCATAACCTCACATTTCTTTGGATTGAATTCTATTTGCTACTTATTTTCTCACTCAGCCAAACTATCAATATCTCCTGACAGCCAATAGTCATCGTCTTCACTGTCCATTCGTGTAATAATCGTCATCACGATTCACCATCCAATTTTTGTGTGGTCCACCGATCTCCTAATCATATTTCCTAATTCTCATTAGAAGAGTGTACGATTGGGTTTAATTGTTTTGAATATTATTAATTAGTATATCTAGTGTTCTGTTTATCTTCTAATTTTTCACTAATCCCTTCAGTTCTGATATAATGACAGATACTGAGGTAAGCTTTGGTCCTTCTGTCCTGAGTTAAAGTGACCATTTATAGCTGGGAGTTTGGCCTTTTTAACCATTGATGTCATGGAGGAGCCTGATCATTGTCAAATGCATGTGCATGTATCTTCCGAAAAGGTTCCAAGAGATATAAAAATCAGAAGTACAAAAACTGACAAACTTTTAATACATTCACAGGAGTCTAGGCATCTCTGGCAAGGCCAGCATCCTTCCTTAATTGTCCTTAAGAACATGGTGGTGAATCATTGCAAACCATGAGATGAAAGCACTCTTACAGTGCTGATAGGGTGAGAGTTCCAGGACTTTGACCCAGTTCCAATGAATGAACAACAATATAATTCCGAATCAGGGAAGGAACTTTGGAGTTGCTGGTCCTCTGATCTTCCTGCTAGCCTTGTTCTTCAAGGTGGTAAAGGTCATGGGTAGTAAAGGTCTTGGGCTGTCCTGGGAGGCTTAGCAAGTTTCTGCAATGCATATTGTTATGGTACCCATTCTATCACTGTGCATCAGTGCTGGAAGTAATGAAGATTTAAGGCAGTACCTGGATTATCAATCAAGCTGTTGCTTTATCCCAGGTGGTAATGAATTTCTCAGGTGGTGTTCGGGCTGCACTCACCTGGCAAAAGGTGATGCATATTTCTGACTTGTGCCTTGCAGCTGGTGGGAAGAGCTTGGGGAGTCAGATGAGTAAATTACTTAAGAAGTTTTTTCATTTAAGGGATTGGGCGTCACTGGCATTTATTGCACATCTCTAGTTGCTCTTGAAAAGTTGGTGGTGAGCTGCCTTCTTGAACTGCTGAAGTTCATTCACTGTAAATAGATCCACAATGCCATTATGGAGGGAGTTCCAGAATTTTGACCCAGTGACACTGCAGGAACAGGCAATACATTTCCAAGTCTGGATGGTGAGTGGCTTGGAGGAAAACTTGCAGATGATGGTGTTCCCATGTGTCTGCAACCCTTGTCCTTCTAGATGTTGTGGCCTTGGGTCCAGTAGGTGCTATGTAAGGATCTTTGGTGAATTTCTAAAGTGCATCTTGTAAATGGTACACACTACCGCTACTGAATGACATTGGTGGAGAGAGCTAATATTTGTGGATGTCATGCTGATCAAGATATCCAAATTCTGACCTGCTCCTAACAACAGTATTTCTCTAGTTAGTCCAGTTAAGTTTCTGATCACCAGTAAACCCCAGCAATTTTTAATTTTTTCACTTGTGGAATGTGGGACATGGGCGTCACTGGCTGGCCAGCATTTATTGTTCATTCCTAGTTCCCCTTGAGAAGGTAGTGGTGAGCAGCCTTCTTGAACCGCTGCAGTCCATGTGCTGTAGGTAGGTGGTGGGGATTCAGAGATGGTAATGTCATTGAACATCATACAATCATAGGACTGTTTTTCACTCTCAACCAATGGATTTGAAGATGGTGGGCTGTCTAAAATTCAGTAGCTGGCATTCCTGCCAACTCCCTACCTGTCTGAAATTCCACAAGGAGATGATGGATGTATTGGACAGCCCACCCATTCTGGGAACTGTTGAACTATTAAAGTGGCCAATTATTAGTCACTAAAGGTACTCTTCCCACCCCTACTGTGTATTATGCAATGGCTGGGGGAGGCACAAGCTAGGTAGAATGCTCAGTAGTTTTCTCGAACTCAGACCGCCAACACCTCACGAAGGCCCCCAATTCCTCCTGGGCAGGTGATGGCCTAGTGGTATTATCGCTGGACTGTTAATCCAGAGACCCCCACATAACATTCTGGGGACCTGGGTTTGAATCCCATCACGGCAGATCGTGGAATTTGAATTTGATAAATATCTAGAATTAAGAATCTAATGATGACCGTGAATCCACTGCTGATTGTCAGAAAAACCCACCTGGTTCACTAACATCCTTTCAGGAAGGAAACTGCCATCCTTACCTGGTCTGGCTTACATGTGACTCCAGACCCACAGCAATGTGGTCGACTCTTAACTGCCCTCTGGGCAAATAGGGATGGGCAGTAAATGCTGCCTAGCCAGCAACACTGAATAAAGAAAAAAGAATAAAGAAATAAAGAAAAAAAAATTTGCAGAATTAACTAGATACGTCGGCACTATGGGACTGCCTGTAACAGCCAGTAGTGGTCACTAGTTCATTCTGATACTGTCTGCTGGAACTAAAGAGCTACTGAACTTCTGATAGGCTAGCAACTGTCTTTGGGCTGGACAACCTCCCATGAAAGGTATGGAAGTCTTGCCTTAAAGCCATTGACAATACTCGCAGCATTCAACTGTCATGGAGCAAACTTCGCAATTGTGGGTGGGTTCCACCCTGACATTTTTATGAAAGGTGTATTTGGACTGTGGTAGCCTGAAAAACCCAGCACAGAGAGTCATTTACAATATAAGAAGAGACCATTTAGCCCATTAAATCCATGTTTGATTGTGGTTAAATTGCCTCAATGGAGATTATCTTTCCTGGCACTTATATGGCACAAATGTTACTTGACATGTGTCATCCTGGCCTTAATGTTGACAACATCTTGCTTCATCTAGGCACGGGCTGCTTCAGTATTGAAGAAGCTGTGAATGCTTCAGAATATTGTGCAGTCATCAGCTAAGAAATTGTAAAAGTTTTTCCATGCAGAATGAGGCCAATTGGCCCTTTGCATTTGCACCAGCAAAAAAAACAGTCACCCAGCCTAATCTCATTTTCCCACACATGGTGACACAAAATCATTGTAAAGATCCCCACTTCTGACTTTATGATGGAAGGAAGATCATTGATGAAGCCACTGATATGACTGGGACTAGGATATGGTCCTTAGGAACTCCTACAGTGATGTCCTGGGGTTGATGATTGATTTCCAGTAACCACAAACACCTTTCTTTGTGCTCAGCACCACCCTAGCCTGTGGAAATCCTGATTCGCATTGACATCAGTTTTCCTAGGGTTCCTCATGCTACACTCAAACAAATATTTCCTTGCTATCAAGGCCAGTCACTCTCAGCTCAACTCCAGAACTCCAGCTCTTTCGCCCATGCTTGAATAAAGGCCAAATGGTGGAATGCATCTATGAGCAGATTAGTTCAGAACTTTTTCAAGGGTGGCACGATGGCTCAGTGGTCAGCACGGCTGCCTCACAGCGCCAGGTTTGATTCCACCCTCAGGCGACTGTCTGTATGGAACTTGCACATTCTCCCTGTGTCTGCATGCTCTGGTTTCTGGCCACAGTCCAAAGATGTGCAGGTTAGGTGGGTTGGCCATGGGAAATTGCCCATAGTGCCCAGGGATATGTAGGTTAGGTGGATTAGACATTAGAAATGCAGGATTACAGGGATAGGATACAGGGTTGGGTCTGGGTGGGATGCTCTTTGGAGGGTCAGTGTGGACTTGATGGGCCAAAAGGCCTGCTTCTGCTCTGTAGTGATTCTGTGATGCTGTGGATGTCATGGCAGCACTGTTGACAACCCCTTCCATCACTTTGCAGATACCTGAGAGCAGGCTGATGGAGTAGTAATTGGTCAGATTGAATCTGCCCTGCCATTATTTGGACATGATATACCTGCCCGGGGCAATATTCTACTTTGTCAGGTAGATACCAGGGTTATTCCTGTATTGGATCTTTCAGGCCCATTCCACACCCTCTCAGTTTATCGATGTACATCCAAAATGTTACCTCAGTTGTTTGCAAACATCATGTATTTATTACCCCTGGGAAGAGTGTGATTTTATTCTGCCATATGCATTTTGTTTATAATCATTTTTATGACTATTGCATTGACTAAACAGTGTAACCAAATAATTAGTGCTATACAGGAGATAATACTTAAACCTGATTTTTGCCATTTTAGGATTACCCTTCCTATACAGCGTTCGGCCAAAACCAGTATGCACAGTATTATCCCACTTCAACATATGGCACATATATGACCTCAAATGATACTGTTGATGGTACCTCTTCAGCGTCAACAACTTATCAGCTACAAGATCCTTCCACTATCACTGGTCAACCAGCCACAGATCTTCCTGGAGGTAAATAACTTCCTTTTCTTTTATGCTCTATTTGTTTGTTTTTGAAAGATCAAGTACTGTCATGTTTTTACCAAAAGAAAAAGTGCCTGGTTTAAGTTAATACATTAACATACTCCATTTTATATCTTTGAGTACAAGTGCCTTTAAGCTATTCTACAGAGCTACAAAGTTAAGGCAACATATTCAATACTTAACTAATATAAGATCCGAACAACTGAATTTAACTGCATTTAATTTACTTATGATTTGTGTGAGGCAGGGGATGGGATGGGGGGAGTGAAATGTTGGGGTTTGCAGTTGTATGGATTTTTTGTCATTGTACTCTGTGCAAGGTTCAAGGTACTATTTTGAAAGTGTTGATTAGGAGGTAGGGAAAAATAAAAAAGTCCAGCAGCTTGGTTTACACTTGTCAAAACAAACCCTTTAGTGCTGACTACTGCACTTGCTCCTCTAAAGCAGAAACATATATTTATGCAGTTAGATTGACAGAGGAAAGGCTGGTGCCTCAGATTTGGAGATTTTGTTAAATGAGTTCCAGTTGGGACTGAACCATAAGTACAAAAGGCACGCAGACGCATACACACACTAGTCGCAGTTGGTTTGTGTGGGTGTAACATAGCAAGTTGTCTTTGGTCCAAGTGGAGAGCAAAGCTCAGAGGACAATAACCAATGCTGTTGATAGATTTGTATAGTTCAACATTTTATTATATGGTGTGTGATGTTGAGGTTTAGCCATAAAGTGAATACAGCCCAGGCCGAGTTAAACAGAAGCAGGTTTCCAAATTAGTAAATAGCAAACACACAAAGCAAACTGTTTGAAGCATGTGTTGTTCATAATTCAGAATGGACAGGAGAAGCTAAAGTATATTTTTTTTAGGTTTTAATGAATTATTTTGTTTTACAATTCCTTTGTACAGCTAAAATGTATTGTAAACAGCTCAAACCAGTATATGTGCTTGTTGTGGTTTAATATCTTTTGAAGGCTCCGTACTGCTTTTAAAATGAAGCTAATACTTTCCATTAATGTCAGTGTGAAAAAGGCATACTCCATTATTCCAGAGTTTGACTGTTTTAATTGCAGGTATTTGAACTTTGATATCAAAGCTTCCTTGAGAAACTGGAACATTCTTGAATCTAAAGTCTTTTTTTTCCAGTTGTCTTTGGCAACCTTACAGATTTTTGATTAAGGAAGCTTATCATTCTTCTTCAATCACAGACATTTTCTTTTTCCATTCCAGCGAGTTAGACTGTTTTTCATTATTGAGACATAACAATAAGTGCTTTAAAACCTGTTCTGTTTCCTGTTAACATTTTTCTGTAACACCCTTCAGTTACACTCACTAAACATGGGTAATTATGTGGGATTCCTGGCCTGTGTGGTCTTCAGTTGCTCCCACTGCCATAGATACCCGACTAACATTATCCATCTTGAGCGTGAATCCTTACTTAGAAATGCACACCAAAAATGCATTTTTAAAAAAATAATTGAACTTCCAAGTTTTGCGAGAGTTCCCAAAGAGATCTGTGCGCATGTGCACGTGTTCATATTATGACTAATGTTCTCAGTACTTCAGTTTTGTCCACAATATTACATTATTGCTCTGCTTGTCTTTTAATTGAATTTTATAATTGGACAACATTAAATGTTGGAGGTTCACAGCTGCAGCTGATGCTCTTTGTACAAGCCGTAAACTAATCAGATTGAGGTCTTAAGTACAAAAGAGTTCCTAAATATTAGTTCTTGGGTAAGGGTGGGTGGGGAGGTGTGTCAGTGGGCAGAGATGCTGCTGGACTAATGTAAATATAAGTTTATTTTAATCATTTAACAACATCTCTGAGCACATCTGCTGGATCTTGTCAGTTTTACTTTACTTTTTTCAGCTAGACATTTTATTGGAGTTAAGAACTATATTTTCGTTTGGAAACTTAGATTAGCCTATGGCTATATGGAGATCCTCAGAACATATGTAACCCACTTGGGTGTGGGTGTAACGTGTTAATATTTTTATTCGTAAAAGGAGTCCAATGAACTGAGTATAAGAGTAGAACTGTGTGCACTGGTTGGAGTGAAACTGCATTCCTCACAGACTTTAATATATTTTTCTGGTTCCAGCTAGGGTTTACAATTTAGTTTTAGAGTTAGGGATGGATTTTCCACCAGTGCCACTAAAGCTGAGAGGATGGTCTATAAGAGTTAGGCACTCGACCATGGCCATTTCGGATGAAACTCCTGAGGTCTGCGTAATTAGTCATGCACCATCATTGAATATGGCGACAGCTGAGAACTTGCAGAACTTGGTGGAGGGAGGCGGGTGTAGAATTTCTGGGGCTGCTACACATACTTCAACAGCTGCAGCAAAAGTTAGCGCCTGACTGTGGAAGTCAAAAAAATGGAGGCAGCAGATGGAGTATCTAGGCAAGTGATTGAACAGTCCAAGCACTAATCCTGCAAAACCTGGAAACAAATGCTGGGGTGGGGGTTTGCAGTGATAGTTACTTTAACAAAGTTGCTGAGATAAGGCTATTCAACAGTGCCATATACCAAATAGTTGCTACAAGTCAGCATTCCACAGAGTGTTGTCCACTGCCTGTTATGCATTTACTGCTGATCCATGCAAAGCCCTCAGACAATCTTATAGCTCTTCCATCCCTTACCATGCATGCCACACATTCGAACTGCAACTTTTAACTAAAGCTCTTGACACACTGATGTCTTAAAAGAGATTCGCACAGAAAATCATTTAAACATAACTTAGTTACATGATCTACTCCCACACTGGTATGCAGGAATCACTCTTATGTTATCTTGAAATATTTTACATCTCAACACTACTGCTCCGTTTGCAGCACAGAATTCGTCAAAACAAGAGGGTACAAACCAACCTAGGGTGATGCCCTTTCAGTTTCAGACACGTGAATCAGTTTGATTGCTGGATATCATTAATGGTGAAAACATGATCGAGAATGCAAGTAAGGCTTACCCCAAGCTGTGCTGTAGTTTCATAATGCCCTTGTTCTTTTACCTCCCACAGCTCACTCACTTTCTAATGTGCTTGAGTTCAAACGCAAAGCCATCAGTCTCATCCTACAGGCAAAATTCTAAGATTTGTTCCTCATTCTTTTTAACTTTGCAAGCTTAATGTCGCTCCCACTTTATAAAAGCAAGCATTTGCATGACGGAGTTCTGAAGGCAGACTAGGGTAAGCCACTTAAGACCGGAAGAGCCTGAAAATCCATAGATATGAAAGATCAGCTTAAGTAGGTAGGATCAGATTGTCCACTTAATGTTGCGGGCAAATGTGAAATCTCTCTCGCTCTCTGTCTCTCTCTCTCTCTCTCTCTCACACACACACACGCACACACACACACACACACACAAATACAATTAGACAGATAATCAAAATTTCTCACTGATTCTCAAATGGGCACACTTTCTCTAAACCCATGAGCTAGTTCTATAGTCAATATACAGGCCAATTACCAACATAGAAACTCATGGAGAACCCCTCCTGGAGAAACTCCCACATTGCAAGGAACCAAATTGTTGGAGAAAAAGAGGAAATTTATAGGAAAGGCTGTTTCCCAGCCTATAAAGAAATGAAAGAGTTGTATTTATATAGCACCTTTCATGACTGAGGGCACCGGTAACATCTTACAGGTAATTAAGTAGTGGTAAAGTATAGTCATTATTGGAAACACAATAGTTAATTTGTGCACACCAAGGCCTGACAAGGGAATTACGCAAAAGTGAAAACATTCAACAAATCTCTTTTTTTTTAATGCGATGTTGGCTGCGAGAAAAATATTAACAAGAATGTCGAAGAAGCCTCGCCTCATCACTGTCTAAAATGTTGCTGATCTTTTACTTCCACCCATGAGGGCAGGCAGAGCCTGAGTTTTAAATCTCATAAAAAAGATGACACCTCCAACAGTGCAGCATTACCCTAGTATCAGAGTGTGAGCCTAGATTTTTCTCATCAAGTTTCTGGAGTGTGTAGGCATTGACTAAAAGGAAGGAGTTCTAACTAAGTGAACAACAACTGGCACAATTACTATACTTGCACTGGTCTTCAGCAGAATTAAAGTACAACAGCACCAAAAAGGCCATAGATTTCAGTCCTGATATTCTCCAGCTTCCTCACACGTTCATTAGTGCTCATGTAACAGTTGAATATTCAGTCCAGTTTTCTACCAGATTCTCAGATAGTCCATCCAAACATGTATAGTAACTGAATTAAAAAAAAAACAAAAGCTTCCACATCATCGAACCTTAATAGTTCTGGCTGTGGCAACAGTTAAATAAATTGTCGAACTGTTTTTACTGTGCCTGGTGTATTTTCTTTATACATAATTATTCAGCTGCTGAACCGCTGTCAAGCTGAATGTTGTACAATCATCAGAAATCACTTTGCTTCTACAGCAGTGTGAACTTGTGGTAAATGCTCATACCTTGTATGCAGAAAAACTCAAGATGATAGCTTTAATCTGAATGGTTGCCTTTACAGGGGAGTTTGATACAGTGCAGAGCCCATCAACACCAGTCAAAGACCTGGATGAGCGAACGTGTAGGAGTTCAGGGTCAAAGTCACGGGGAAGGGGAAGGAAGAATAATCCATCACCACCTCCTGACAACGACTTGGAGGTATGCCCTGACTTTAATTGATGAAAGCTTAAAATTACATGTATTTTGCAATAAAGGTTGAAAGGCAAGCCTCATTATGTAGAACTACAGAGAAACATTCTTTCAAAAACCTGATTCATAAAATAATTTTCAGCCGAGATTGGTGTGAGGTGATTTTATTCCTGGTGATAATGATAGTGCAACACAATGATGGTTTCAGCAGGCAGTTAGTTTTCAGACTATGTATTCCCTCCTATTCCTTTCTGGGTTTAGGAGTGGTGGAACAGCGGAAGAATCAAGTTGAAATTGTGAGGGAGATAGTAGGAACTGCAGATGCTGGAGAATCTGAGATAACAAGGTCTAGAGCTGGAAGAAGGGTCCAGGGTCTAGGAAGAAGGGCATTTCTGAAGAAGGGTCTAGGCCCGAAACATCAGCCTTCCTGCTCCTCTGATGCTGCTTGGCCTGCTGTGTTCATCCAGCTCTAGACCTTGTTATCTTTGAAATTGTTAGGAGCGGGTTGTAACAGAACTGAGAATTTCTGATAAAAGTTTCATTGTACACCACGCAGTTACATTTCTGAAACTGTGAACTGTTCAATAAATTTACAGTCCAAAAATAAACAGAGCCTAAAGCACTAATTTCAACATTGAAAACTACAATTTGTTGAAAGTTCAATTTGTTTTCAATTATGAGTTGCTATCATAAAGAGCTGGATGTTACATTCGACAGAAATGTGTCAGAGAAAGCATTGCTTGTTATAAAGGACATTCTCTGCATTGCTATTACAGTGATTCTTTCATTCCCCCACTCCACTCAGCGCTTATACAAATTAAAAAGAGATCTCACAAGGAGTTGGTAAATCTTTGGTAAATGCTCTGTCTAGTGTGGTAACTGGACAATTTATAACACAGAGATACTTGTTTCCATTTCTATTAGTTGCTGTCAGGTAGGAAAGCTTTAGGAACACAACAGTCGGTTGAACCACGTATAGGCCAGGAAGAGGAACAGAACTTCAATAAGAAAAGTTGCATGTACGAACATTTTGTGAGGACAGAATTAGGCTTAACTATCATGCCACGATTGAGTAACCCCCTGTACAAATTCACAGATATAGACAGATTCTTTCTGCAAGACAGCTAAAGGCCAGTAATGGAGCTGTATCTCAGCATGATGCAGTGCCTTAATGACTGAGAGTAGATTTCAAGGAAGTCTTGGAAAGAGCAGGGTGGTTGTCGACTGGTTGCGGGAGAAGGGCAGGATCTTAAAGCGAAAGCACTGAATTGATCAGGATTGAAAGCGGAATTTGAGAAATCACAGGGTTAAAGCAGGGAGGGGATTGACCTGACAAGAGGGGAGGAAATATTGGCCTGTTGGTGTTAAATTAAAATCAGGCTCCCAACTGCACTGTTCAGAGTCCCTCCTGAGAGCAAGAGACCAGAACTGCCCAAGCTGCTACCATAAGAATCATGACAGATAGAGGTGTGTTGGATTGATGTCAGGTTAGCAATTTTTTAAACCCCTCCACTCCCCTCTACTGCCATCTTTGTGCTGGTGAAGTTTTCTCCAATTGTGTCAGGAAAAAGAATGAGGTCCAACAATAAAGTAAAAAATCATGACAAATTCTTAATTGATTGTTAAAGCCAATCCAGATTTAACAAGTAGACATTTTGGGGTGTATTGCTTCCTTCAAAATTTCAAAAACATTGAAAAGGAAAAAACAATAAGTAAAATTACAGTTAGCAGTATTAACCTACTGACCATTGTTCTGCTTTGATATTACAAATCTTCCCAACTTGTCATCTCTATCACCTCGAAGAGCAAGAGCAGTAGCCTGTTGGGAACACAACCAACTTCAGGTTTCTGTCCAGGCCATAGACACCATCCTGACATTGTCACTGATTTAAAATCCCTTCCCTTTCTGAAAGTATTGTGGGTGTACCTGCACCATTTCAACTGCAGTGGTTTGGGAAGGTAGCTCACCAGCACCTTCTTGAGAACAATTAGGGATGAGCATTAAATGCTGGCCTTCTTTACAAAAATGCTGCATCATATTGCGCAACTAAAATTCACAGTGTTACATATATATGACTGGTTAGCCAGAAGTGAAACAGCAGCATCACTTCAGGATGGCATGGTGATTCAGTGGTTGGCACTGCTGCCTCACAGTGCCAGGGACCCGAGCTCAATTCCAAGGGCAACTGTCTGTGTGGAGTTCGTACATTCTTCCCATGGCTGTGTGGGTTTCCCCTAGGTCTCCTCCCACAGTCCAAAGATGTGGGGTTTAGGTGAATTAGCCATGCTAAATTGCCTACAGTGTCCAAGGATGTGCAGGCCAAGTGGGTTAGCATTGGGAAATGCAGTGTTATAGGGATGGGGTGGGTCTGGGTGCTGTTCAGAGTGTTGGTGTGGACTTGATGGGCCAAATGGCCTGTTTCCACACTTTAGAGATTCTGTGATTCTAAAACCTTGCTTTACTAGATTATGACAAGAATAATACAACATAAAAAGAGAAGTTAATCTGCCCAAAATCTCTACTAGGACCACCATCATCATCTTTTCCCATCCTGTTCCTTAAGCTCCCCACCAGTTACCTGACATACAGGTAAATGGATGCATGAAACTGGTTTGAATAGGTGTTTAGAGTAAGAATGGGCAGAACCTGTCAGTGGTAGTGACTATCTGACTTCCTCCTGGCTATCCTTTACTTTGCATAATGTGTACACAGAAACATTGTGTTTTCTCAATTCCATTTATCAGACCTGGCACTTGTCGTGATGAGTGAACTCCACAAGACAGCAGGGGTGCAGGGGTTTTTTTATAATAAAGAAAAAAGTTATTGTGGCATTGCAGGTTAAAGATTGTAATGGATGTCTGACATCAGAAGTAAAGAAAATAGCTTTTACTAGTGAGCAGTTGTACAAAATTTCAGCCCAGTTTTGCCAAGTTGGACTAGCTCAGGAGCTCTTTAAAAATGGCAGATGAGATCCAAATCTTGCTTATTCCCATTTACAGTTTTATGGAAGCAGAAGTAGGCTATTCTGCCCTTGAACATTTTCCTGCACTTACCCTCTATCCCATGACATCATTAGTAACTAGAAATCTTTCAGTCTTTGTCTGTAACTTATGTGATGACTGAGCTTCCACACAGGAGTCACGAACCACGGGAGAAACCCAGATCAAAGTGGGGAACCAAGAAAATCTAGTCACCCAATTCTGGAATTCTTTCATTGACAGGTTTTGTGATACAACGGGAATACTTCTTCAGTTTCACTTGTCAGGTGCTGCAGCATCCAGACAGATTGATTGCATTTGCACTCTAGCACTATCGATCCTGCACATGAACTGTTGTATGATGAAACTTTTACATTTGTAGGTTTTGTTGTGGCTTCCCAAAACCTGTGAGTACATTATTTTTTATAATTAGCAGGACTCTTGTACCTGCATCAATCTTGGGCAATAATAATTTGCAGTTTGTGGAGCACAGAGAAGTTGATCTTTTTTTGCAAACATTTCAGACATTTCTGTCTTCCATGAAATTGAGTGTGAAATGTATTCACAACTTTTTTTCCCATCATTTACGTTGTCAGATTCTGGTTTGTCAAATCAGATCATGTATATACCTCTGATCGGATACCAGATGGCCCTTATTGTAGTTGGAAGATATTCCTTTTGCAAGGTCTATATGGGTCAATGCACAGCTCTTTGTAGCTGTATCAGTTTTTTGCTCAAGTGCATTGCCTCTGCTAATGGCCTTCTCTGCCACATGCCTTGCAAATTTGATTGAAACCTGAGGATTTCCTTGGAAGACTACACCTTCCACATGTCTTTCTGTGTCTTGGTGTTCTAGTGATTGTGTCAGCCATCAAGTTTGTATTCAAAGCTTGTGAGCTTGTTGACCTGCAAGGATCACTTTGTCTTTACCTCCATGCTTCAGTAGCTCTTTGACACTATAAGATTTTAGTTTGTCTCGCAAATCTTTCTGGAAAACATCGATGGAAGTGAATGCAATCACTAATGCAATAACTTTCTATGCTAGCCCTCTATTTTAAAAATTACAGAATGAGCCCTTTTTCTTCTATCTGCTCATGAAATGGTCTGTAGATTCTGTCGTCTTCTCTCTAAATTACATGAATTAGAGTGGATATGAACAGAGTTCTGGAGAACTTTTGGCTCTCCTGCTGTTAACCTTGACACATTAAATCTGTGTGTAAACCATCATTGCCAATTGCTAGGCAATCTCATTGACTTGTTTTTCTGCATCAGACCCATCCGAATCTAAAAACCATAACTCATTTTAAATTCTGCTAAGAGGACTGCTGTGTACCAATTTAAACTAGGGAATTTTGTTGCCGTTCTTACAATATGACTTTGACCGTTCCTTGCTTGCTGTCAATTCGACACACATCATCACTTGTCTTCTTTCTCAAATGAATTAAACCAGTCTCTTTATAAGGACCTGTCTGCTTACCAGCAAGCTGTGTTTTCAGCACTTTCTGGCACTGGGTAGGGAACAAAGATATCCAGGGCTCCCTCAGCCACATTAGCATGATTGAAGACTATCACCCATGTCTTCTACCTGTAGATTAACTTGCTCATTTTCTGTTCAAGCACAGAAATTGCCATCAGTATGATGTTTTCCAAAACTCTTCATAATCCTTTATTGATGGTAATGGTCTAATAATCATTTACACATCAGGGATTGATTAGCTTCATGAATTAGTTTATTCAAAACAGAAAAACATCTTATAATTTATGAAATCGATCCTTCAGCAAAACATTTCGTTATGTCCAGCTTGCAGACCCACAGTAAACTCACTGCCAGGCAGAGTCACAACATTGAATACATAGTCCTTAAAGGCAAATTCTCATGGCACACATATTTACAACAACAATGATAGGTGGACTGACAGCAGAGCTAGGCTTTTAACAGTCACACTATCAGGGAAGTATCTGCATTGGTGGAGCAGGAGATACCATCTACAGCAGTAGGGGATGAATCAGGAAATGAAACAAAAATAGAA